ACTACTGGTAGTACAGTTGTAGAGACTGGAGGACATGATACCCTATGTAAGTTTAAATTAAATATTTTTGTGTCACATAGGAAAGTCATCAAAGGCTAAGTCAAAAAGTAACTTAAATAAAGGTCAAGTAATGATTGCTACAGGTGGAGACTCTGAGAAAGGGGCTGGCAAAAATGGTAAGTCCAACAATTGTCCAACTGTTGTCACTGTAAACTTTTAGGTCTTGTCAAAAAGAGTAATTTATTAAAATGTGAGTCACTTTTTATCCCATGCCGTAGGTCAAAAGGTCCCAATTGTGGACTTCAATAGTAAGTCACAACTCCTTGCAGTACCTATATTCCAATTTCAATTTTAGCTCAACCTTTCACAAGCCTCTTCAGTAAGTTTCAGTATTTGTGTCTTGATCATTGTTCATTCCTAGCAAAAGAACCACCTCTTCTACAGTTGCCAAGTAAGCAAAACTATGACAAAAATTACTATACCATCTATAGCTTTTGAATCCAACAGAGAATCAGGTAAATTTCGTTTTACCATTAAAAGTTTTGCATTTAGATGTCTTTTTAAAAGCCGTAGAATACAGAAAAGGTACTAAAATTTTACATAGAAATGTTAACATTACACTTTAGAGAGCGAGCCCAGCGATGAGGAAGAACAAGAGGGCGATACACTGGCACCAAGTAATTCAAACTCTGAACCAATCTGGCCAGCAGCAACATTCTACTCAGTGAGATCATAAGATACTGATGGCTACTGCAGATAGAAGAGCATTCAAATAGTGATAAATCCCCAATAGGTGAATGTGATTTGCTGGAGAATGACCCTCTTCTCTCCCAATTAGAGGATTCACAAGCTGCATCCGACGCTCTTTATAAATTGCCGAGGTCTCACCTAAAAGCTGAGGTAGCACTAAAGGTACTTTAATTGCAATTAGCATCCATTCATCCACCTGAGTGACCTGACTGCAGGTAACAGCAAGAGATAAATTGGTTTCTGCTCTTAGGCAGAGCTCAAGAGATACAGACATGGCATGGGGCAAAGCTCTTTACTGATCAATACACTAGTACAGAATTGTTTCAGACTTGGATACTAAATGATACCATTTTGATCAACCTAGAGCCAAAATAGTATAAAGTTCTCTAGCTTTAATACCCAAAAGCTAGTCCAGGTCTGAAACAGTTCATGTAAAGCCAACTTTCACAAAATAGGCAACTTTATTGCCAGGACATTTGATGCTGTCAGGCAATGTATTGCCAATAATTGAGTCTCTCTACTTTCAGCAACATTTTGCCTTATGTTGCTAAAAGGTGAAAGATCAAAAATAAATTTGACAACATCAAAGGTCATAAAAAAGTTGGCTAGTGTATATTGACTTATATCCAATAACAGAGTTGTTGCCGTGTAAATGAACATACATTTATTATTTACATTTACACATTGCTTTGCTTCATGTCTGTACTGTGGAACTATGAATCACTCAATGAGAGAAACATAAACCAGTTCCATATTATGTAGCTGACTGTACCAGGAATAAAGGTACTCTTGGTAAAATATAATTTTTCATTAATTATCATTGATTTTCTGCTATCACAAATATTTATCATGTAAAAAATATGGGCTTAAAGTTCAGAAGAGTGTTTTACTTGCACAGGAAGGCACATTTGTTCATGATTTATGTGCACTGAAGGAATCAGTTGTATTTCTGTTACCAACTTTTATGATAATTATAATTCAAATTTTAGAATACTTTATTTTATGTTATATTGGACAACTCGCATCAATAGGCTAAGTTCAAGGTAGAGCTGGTTTTAATGAGCTTTCATCGTCTGTAGCTTAAATAAATTTTACAAAATTGCCCATTCTCAAAGGCAATAACTGACCCAGCATACACTGTGCAACTGAGAGCCAATACACTTGATGTGGCCAAGCAACATATTGCATGGAATAACATTCAGTGGGTAATTTTTTACAATTGACTTTGGCAAAATTTATGTTTCATAATATATGGTTCGGACCTATTTTTTAATGATTCACAAAATTTCAAGATTAAAAAATTATCCACTTTAGAATACAGTGCTGAAATGCTAGAAACATAATCGGGATCTTGAAATACCGTTGCTAGCAGGGCAGTTAGCCTATAAACTCGAATAAGAGCTAGTGATTTATTGGAAAGAAGTAAAAAGTTCTAAGTAGCAACAAAAAATTCATATGTATAGTTTAAAGGTATGATGTTTTACTGGTCCCAAATAAGAGTGGTGTGGTCCAGTCCAGTCCAGTAAAAAGCTCTCTAAGTAGCAACAAAAAATTCATATGTATAGTTTAAAGGTATGAGGTTTTCCTAGTCCCAGATAAGAGTGGTGTGGTCCAGTCCAGTCCAGTCCAGTAAAAAGCTCTCTAAGTAGCAACAAGAAATTCATATGTATAGTTTAAAGGTATGAGGTTTTCCTAGTCCCAGATAAGAGTGGTGTGGTCCAGTCCAGTCCAGTCCAGTAAAAAGCTCTCTAAGTAGCAACAAGAAATTCATAGGTATAGTTTAAAGGTATGATGTTTTACTGGTCCCAAATAAGAGTGGTGTGGTCCAGTCCAGTCCAGTAAAAAGCTCTCTAAGTAGCAACAAGAAATTCATAGGTATAGTTTAAAGGTATGAGGTTTTCCTGGTCCCAGATAAGAGTGGTGTGGTCCAGTCCAGTCCAGTCCAGTAAAAAGCTCTCTAAGTAGCAACAAGAAATTCATAGGTATAGTTTAAAGGTATGAGGTTTTCCTGGTCCCAGATAAGAGTGGTGTGGTCCAGTCCAGTTCAGTAAAAAGCTCTCTAAGTAGCAACAAGAAATTCATAGGTATAGTTTAAAGGTATGAGGTTTTACTGGTCCCAGATAAGAGTGGTGCGGTCCAGTCCAGTCCAGTCCAGTCACTTGTCCTGTAGCAGTGAGCACTCAACATTACCTGTCAAAGAAATTAAAGATACTTCTCTTGGTTGTCTGGGTTGTCCAAGTTCATCTGTACTGCCTCTCTCTCCTTTTAGCAGCCTGTTTAGGCCATTCTTACCTTCATTCTTCAGTCAAGCTACTGTCAACTGGAGATGTATACTACTAGTGTATTGTACACACACAACAAAGGAGCAATGAACTACCTACCCATAAGTATACAGTAGCAATGGAATAGCTACTTTACTTTTCTTGCTTTGTAAGAAAAGTAATTGTACATACTCCATGCAATATGTTAATAGCTCCAGCTGCTAGTAATGTGTATGCTGGACTTAAAGTCAAAGTACACATACCATATTTGCTTGAATAAAAACCCTACTCCAATAAATGCCCATCACTATTCACCATTTCAATAGATATGCATACTTTTCCAGTACAAGTGCCCCGTCATTTAGATTGTCCCAGATAGTCCATTTGTCCATGTAGTGTTGAAGGCCCAAGGTTATGTGCTGAAGTCCACTTGAGAGCCTTTTAATTTTACGCGATTTTTCCCTTGTTAAGAACAAACGCTCGGAGTTTAATCAAGCAATTATGGTAGATGGCAATGACTAATAATAATACAATACAGCCTAGATCTAGGCAATAATACATAAAATTAGTGTTGAAACAAATAGTGAATTATTTGAATGAGAATTAATTCAAAATTTCAAATTTTGCATGATTATATTTCAGCTAGCATAATAAAAATTTAGACCTCACCTTATTCCAACCAGCTCCAGTACCCAGTACAGCCACAAGGGAAAGGGTTAGACAGGTGTTGTCTGAGAATGACTGAGATCATTTCCCGAAAACAGTAGGCCCAAGAAAAACTATGTACCACAAAAATAACAACGACACATTCTGAGAAAAAGATGTAGCAGCTGTTACAAGATCCATCAACAATGTGGAAGGTCACTGTTTAAGTCCTGATTCACACTCACCATAAAAAAACAACACGAAATTAAACTTTGGCCATCTTTATCTGCAAAGCATTATAAGCTCAGATCACCCACAATATTTTGACTGCTATGTCAATAGTAAGCCTATAGCTTGATGAACTGGTTGTCTTACTGAGCAATAAATATGTAGCAACTTACATGATGTAAACCACCTGTCAAAGTAGTATGTAACTTATTCCCAATGGAAGTCATTAGGACAACTGGTGGTGTACTCATATGCCCAACATACACTAGACTTATTGCTAGTACCTTTGCTGTGATCAGACAACTTGTCACCAAAAGTTGAGCCTCTCCTTGTTGGGCAACATATTATCCAATCACAGCAGAGGTCTAAAGGTCCCTGACCATTAACTGCTAGCATTAAAGTTACTAATGTATGTTGGGCTTAAAAAGTACAAAAAAGGAAATGAGTTGATATGAAGTTTGATCTATCATTCCTTTATTTAGCATGAAGTTTGTGTGCGATGAGGAATCAAGCATCATGATATTGTGGTAGAGAAAATTGACAGATCATCAGTTATACAAAAAGCTATTGCCACATCATTACCTTATGTCATTTAGAATTTGAGAAGTAACATCAATTGGAATGAATTTGTTACAAAAAGTGAACCAGGAAATGAAGTTAAAAGTAAAGGATTGTAGTATAATAGACCAGGGGGAGCAGCTATAGTAGTTAAAACTAGTATTCTATTTCTAATTCATAAATTTGAAGCATCATCTTTTGATATAAAAGCAGTGCCATAAACACAAGTCCCAGTTTTTGATTCAGCACAGCAGACATCCAAAGATGACAGAAAAAGGAATTTTGAGGAAAGCCACATTGTTTAAACAGACCAGCCCCACACCAGGTGACAGTTTTGATAGGCTTTGTGTCATGTAAACAAAAATAATGGTCAAGACAAAATATTAGAAGTTTTAGAATCAGGAATCACTTTAGAATACCCAAAAAAACTCGGTAATAATGGGCCACATATATGAGAGGAAGGTTCTCAAAATATTAGAGCAAAATATTCAATATTTGTTTCAACACTAACTATAATTAACATTAATGTACATGTATGCGCCATCTATACCTTCATCACCAATCCATAGACACAGCTTACATCATAGGATGGCCAGTAGTTCAGCTAGTGTGCCTTAGCTAGTGTGACTCGTTGACGACACTCAAAAAGGAACCGCAACAGAGCTTTCGTCTTTTTGGCCAGTAATGTTACACTCAGACAAGTCTCTTCTCTCTTCTTCCTTTAAAGAAGACGCATAAAGATAAATGACAATGTTGCCATTGCTTACAACAGTAGCTCCAAGAAAGCATTTTCTATTAATCCAGGATATTTTTTTCACATTCATCTGTACAACCTAACAATAAAAGAATAAAGTAATTGTGAATTGAGTCACACAAATGCTCAGAAGTCAGAATCCTACTAATCAATGCAGTCAGTACTGATTTGTCTGTTACTTTTCACATTAAGATCAAGTACAATTAAAATTACAATCAAGAACAATTGATGTTGTGAATATAATTATGTGCTACATGTATATGTGCATGGATATTTTTTCAAAAAATTGAATTCATCAAACATGCATGGCAAGGATAGAATTTTTATGTTTTCCGATACTAGAAAGTTTGAGTTGATTCTAAAAAAATCTGGGTTTTTAAAAGAATTTTTAAAGTTGCTCAAGAATCGGGCCAACGTCCCTTTACAATGGGTCACGGGTCAAATTTTGCCAAAAATAAAGAGGAGAGAATTTCCCATTTTTATATTTTTCCTGATACATATACATGTTCTTATGTTGTGTAGCAAGTTTGAGTTGATTCCGATCAAAATTGGATTTTTTACGAATTTTTAAAGTTACTCAAAAATCAGGTCAACGTCCCTGTACTACCGTAGGTCGGGTTATATTTACGGCTGCTAATATTCGCGATTTTTTCCCGCGGCTAGCAATTGCCATAGCAACTAGATGCTAATTTAATTGAAAACGGCGCGTTATTGAAGCACAGCACCCGATTGCAGTGTTCTTGAGTTGTTATTCTTCTTGCTGTTACTAATCCTTGGACTCTTTGAAGCTGTTTTAGCCAGTTCTTTTCAGAAATACTCTACTCACTCTGCCTCGCCGTGTCTTGGGACTCTCCACCCATTCTAGTTAGTGTTTTATTAACTTGGGTGTGGTTTATAATCACGACCGACCGACCAGCAGTGATTTTGTAGCGAAGAACTGGAAGGTAGCGGTCCATCTATACAAGAAGATAACAGATAGAGAACTGGAGTCTGGGTGGCTCTACTCAAACTGCTCAAGAGTAGCTAATTAGCTGCTGAACACTGTAATTGTATAAACACGTGGTCAATTGTCATAGCAACAATCAATTTGTTTCCATGGTATTTAATTGAACTTCTTTATTAGTTTTTATCACCGCGAATATTAGCAGCCGCGAATATAACCCGACCTACGGTATAGTACAGGGTCACGGGTCAAATTTTGCCAAAAATAAAAAGGAGAGAATTTTCAATTTTTATATTTTTTCCTGATACATATACATGTTCTTATGTTGTGTAGCAAGTTTGAGTTGATTGCAATCAAAATTGAATTTTTCACAAATTTTTTAAGTTACTCAAAAATCAGGTCAATGTCCCTGTACTATAGTACAGGGTCACGGGTCAAATTTCGTCAAAAATAAAAAGGAGAGAATTTTCCATTTTAATATTTTTTCTGATACGTATACATGTTCTTATGTTGTGTAGCAAGTTTGAGATGATTCCAATCAAAATTGGATTTTTTACAAATTTTTTAAGTTGCTCAAGAATCGGGCCAACGTCCCTTTACAATGGGTCACGGGTCAAATTTCGCCAAAAATGAAAAGGAGATAATTTTCTATTTTTATATTTTTCCTGATACATATACATGTTCTTACACTAACCAGATTTTTTATAAATTTTTTAAAGTTACTAAAATGGCTACCATATGTAGCTGCTAATTTTAGAGGTGGGGTAAATTTTGGCCAATTCATTTCATCACAACAAAACCCGCCAATTTAAACCATTATTCACATACTCAATGGCACATTAGTGGCATGATCACAAATTAACCGTCAAATAAGACCGGGAAATCAACAAAAATTTAAAGCAAACACCCCCCCCCAAATTAATCTTTAACCCTCCAAAATGTGGCATTCATTAGTCTAGTAACGCCAATCAATAATAAACCCCCAAATATGTTAGACTATACAGTAAATATTCACCAATTCTACAGTCCCAAACTAGCTAATCCTTACCAATAATATTCCTTCAACGCCATCGTTCTATTCGTCCATTTATGACGGCAGAGTCAGTTCTCGCTTTTTCTTCGGAATCAGAACTGGTCACGGCCTCTCACTGTAGCTTTTATCTTCACCTAATGGTAGGTAAAGTATTGAGTTAAAGAGCAATTTATCCATCAATAAAGCCTACCAGTCTTAAACTTTAGGACGGTGAGAGCAAAAACTTTAGGATGACGAGAGTAAGAGACGACTCACAAATGAAAGGCAACGACTCTGACAAGACGGACATTGACTATTGACAAGTGAATTGACAACGTGGCCTTAAAATCTGCGCATGCGCATTTGGTCAGTCTGCAAAAGTACGCCAATAACAATACTGACAAGATACACTGTCTATAGATTTTTCTAGAAGTACCTATAAAAGTTACAGTGTACATATTCCAAGGTTCAAATGGATGGTTTAGTCAATGAAAATAATAATGAGCTTTTAAATACCTGTGATCAAGAAGGAGCAAAACTCAGATCTTAACTGCATGAGAATTAGAGCAGAGTTATGACGTAAAAAATCTACAATAGCAAAATCTATGCAGTTCTGGTTTTTTAGTTTTAGCTTTTATCATTTTTAAATGTGTCTTTTTAATTAAAAACAACCATGAATCAAGCAAAACTACATTCTACTAATTCAAAAATAATAAAAATGTTACTAAAAAGTTTTTCGAGGAGTAAAGTTGACTTTAATGGGCACACTAGGTCTAGACAGAATTATACCGTCATATGGCAACCTATCACTGGGAAAATTGGACTTCATTTCAAAGTGACGAACAAGCTACATATGCGAAAAAAAAGAAATGCAAAAAATTACTTTAATTTTATACTTGGCATAGTAGAATTTTTATCTCCACTTCAGCAAATCTTCGTCCTAAAATTAAAATAAAGATTTTATTTATAACAATAATCATTGTTTTCAATGTACACTTACCCCAGCAGCCTTTAGCTCCAAATCCAAATGGCAGCACAATAAAAGGATGTATATCGTCAGTTGTCCAACGATCAGGATTGAACTTTTGTGGATCTTTGAAAAGCATTGGATCTTGACTCATTGCTTCCATTACTCCCAGTATTGGTACCTTAAAAATGTAAAATAAAATTAAAAATGATAACTATTATTTACTTTAGCTGGGATATGATATCCCAGTAGCTCTATGTCATGATCAAGTAATCTTGTTGGAAAGTTTGTGACTGAGTATAACCTGTATAATCATGTATAAAAAAATTTTAATGTTTTACTAGATTGTAGAAAGAATTGGCCTGGATGCTACTGTATAATAAGTGCATTTCAATACCTTTGTGCTTCCTTAATGATGAGTCCTAAATAAGGCAGCTTATGAAGAGAGCTTCCATCAATATCTTCATCATCATCCATTACAGATTGCATCTGTTGGTACACTTTCTCTTGAACCTCAGGATGCTTAGCAAGCTCATAAAGAATAAATGAAACAGTGGCAGCGGTCTGTAATAAAAAATTACAATAGTGAGAATGAATAATTACAATTGACTCACAGTGTCTAGGCCAGCTGCAAGCATACTAATAGCATTGCCAATAGCTTCATCTTGAGACATGTTGCCTTCAATGAGCCATTGCTCAATGAGACTTGTTCCATGCACTCTTTCTTTTTTCAATGCAGCTCTTGTTTTTATATCTGATATATACTTATCAGCATATTTTCGACCAATTTCATAAACTTTGTCTAGCCCTCTATTAAACTGCTTGTACGATGATGTGGCAACTATTTTGTACAATGGAAATGCAGTTTGAAGCTCATAAAGAGAATCTATTACAGCACCAGTTGCATTTTGTAGCTCTTTTGCATGACCATCTTCATCACATTGGCTGTCAAGGTTAACTCCAAATGTAAAATGGGCACCAGCTATAGTAGTATAATAATGCATAGATTAGAGTATCATTCCTAGCATTAAAAATTATACGGTATTTATTTTTGTCATATATGGTCAATTATGCTTTAAAGCCAGGTATACACTAGGCAACATGTTGCTTACAAGATCAAAGTAACCACAAATGTTGCCAGCAGCATGTTGCCTAGTGTATGCCTGACTTTAAAGGTAGTACGCTATACTTAGAGGGCTTCTATGTTCATAGGATAAAGTTTTGAAAAAAACAGCAGGATCAGAAAAATATTTTAGCAATGCTATTGCAATTGTAATTATACATAAAATTTATGTAATAGTCAAGTTTACCTTCAAGTGACCAATATCTGACAAGATCTCTTATATCATTGACAGTACCATCTTTATTCTGAATTTCATGTACATTTCTTATAAATTGTTTGGCAACTTTATTAAACCCAGAGCAATAGCTAAACACATTAGCAGGTAATGCCTGCTTGGTAGCCTTAGAACGATTAGTGAGCCACTCCTTCCCAGTCCTATTGAAAAATAAATTACAAAATGTACATCATGCCATGTTATTTCTAAAAAATCTTTTTAAAACTATTGCTTTATTATGGTTAGAACAAATAAGTAAAACCTGCCCAAAACTAGATCTTTATGCTACTGGGGAAAGTCATTAGAAATTATCTTTACATGATGGAATTGGATTCATCATTCATTCATTCATTCATTCATATAAAGCTAAACTTCACAATCTCTTATTTGCAAGTCTTTCAAAAACAGTACTTCACACCATAAATGACACATTATTACTTACTGAAAAATAAATAGGCTGGGTTCATTTCTCCTTTGCATGATCCAGTCTACATTTTTATCAATAAGAGACCTAGTAGGATAGTGTCCTTCATTTCGAAAAACTTTCTCCACTGCTGATGGATCAGCTACATAGACCATAGATTGGCCTAAAGGTATAGGAAAAATGACTTTTAGTCAGTGGTCTTTCACTAGCTAAAATATGGTCATATAGTCATCATTTATCAATGTTGCTTGAAACAAATTTTAGTACCAATCGATTCTAATTAATATGCAACGATGGTAAAAATAATTCCAGTTTTCATGCAGCTCTGAAACAAGAGAGAGAGTTAGGCTCTCATCCATGCTCCAACCTGTTCCTTAATTAACAAGGCTTGCCTTGTGACTAAATATTCTAACATGTATAGTACAATACTGGACTTACCAATGAAATTCATTTTGAAGATTGGTCCTAGGTTTTGTATGTGCTTGGTAACAAATTTGCTGAATGAAGTGACATCTTTTAACAATCTCAAGTGTCCAATTATTGGCAAGGATCCAGCTGGACTAGGAAGAGCAGTAAAAGGTTTCATCATTATAAATTTAATGAAGTTGGTATAACTGAAGTCTTCTGTAAGCGGGGTCTAGCATATATATACTGAAGTTATGACTCAAGACTGAAGATTGAGGTCATTGATATAGACCACCAGAGTGAGAATTGCAAAAGCTATGAATTTCATTAATTTTATCATAGATATTATAGACTAAGTAACCTACGTAATATCTATGATTTTATATGCGGTGATTGCGGTGTCCACCCACGCGTCATACCGGTAATTGACTGCCATTTTTGTTAAGGAAGTTAATGGAGGCAAGAAGAAAATGCCTCACTTACCTGCTGTAGCTCTATCAAAAGCTAAAAAGTGCTTGTTATAAGAAAGAATAGTTGCCTTTAAGCTTCTCCTGTAAAAGATTTGGTCAAATTCGCTCCAGAATTCTTAATACAGGCTTGTTTTTTAGATGTTAGTTGTCGAGGCGCCAGACTAATTAAATAGTTGCTGTCTTTGTGTAATCAGAGATAGTATACTATCTCTGGTGTAATAAAGGATTCGTAGTGAAGAATGCAAACATCGACAATACCAGTAATTAGTGACAATTAAAAAATCATACCATTATCTATCATCATGTTACAAGCAGTATATATGGTAATAGATCTACACACACCTACATAAAGAATGCAAAACCACATAGATTATAGTTTAAATGCTCGCAGCCTCACTATGATCTATGCTCAAATCAGTACCTAGAAATGACTTAGCAATGCTATACATGCACACATGAGCACAAAATGAATGCATAAATAATGTATAACTGTATACATTGTGGTGAAACCATAGTCATTTTACACGGAATAGTTTGAGGTAGAATATCATATTATCATAGTGGGATATGATATCATCATTGTGGACTATAACATCATCATAAGTATTATAATTAAAATTATTTATCTTTTCCTTAAATTTTTATATTTAAAAAATGCATATTGTTATTCCTTTTAATGTACAGTTGTTATTGGCCTCGCCTACGCGAGGTATAGGTAGTTGTTGTGTGTGTCTGTCATTACCCGAGACCGCGTAGGCGTAGTCGTTACCCGAGACCGCGTAGGCGTAGTCGAGGGTAAAGCAGTCGTCCTGTCTGTGTGTTCGCTTTGACCTCCACATTTGAGCTGACACTGCTTTCTTGTCTTGTCCCGGATAGTCTTATAATCAACACTTGCTCTAGAAAAAGTTATTCTCCGTCTTGGGAATCCTTGATTTGTCTTTTCCGTGGTAAAAGAAGCTGGCAAAGTCGCCAAACGCAGTCGGCTCTCCTGCAGCTCTTTCGTAGTGAAAGCAAAAGAGCAACAGGGCAGATAAAACAATAAAGCAAAGCCTCATCTTTCATTAATATGAGAAAAATTGTTCCAATCTTCTTCGTTTTAAAGATATGATAGCCCAAACTTTCATACCTTGTGAGTTTAGACGAGGCTCTCTTCTCCCGAGGTAGCGGCCAGAGTCTTTTAACATTAGGGACTAGATAGCAGTTTGTATGCAACAAATAGAGCCTAACAAATGTATGCTAAACTGTTTAAAAGTCGAGAAAAACCAAAGCTTTCTTCACCACTTAGGGCCATGTGCCACCATTTACTGTGTGTGGGGGTGGAGCATGGCTTGATTGAGCCACACCTTCATTGCAGCCACACCTTTACATTGCTGCAGATAGCAGTGCAGCAAATATGCTGGAGCTCTTTGTTTAAAAAAACAAAAAATTCTTTGTCTGTCTCAAAACATTCACTAAGTTTTAATAAATCTAGTACATGCTGAAGCTTCTTCTCTGTCTCAAAACTTTCACCAATTATTTTCTCTTAATTTATTGAAAATGTTACATACAGATTGTGTCGAGGGTATGCACTTTAGTGCTCTTGTTCATTCATTCATTCTGTACAACTGAAATTTGTTTTTAATAAACAATAACTTTAGCACAGCGTGTTCTAAGCTCCTAGATCTTTCTTTTTGACGTGGAAAAGTCTTTCTTAACTGTTTTGTGTTGCTCAAATACAAGTGCTAGGTACAGAAGCTTCAAAGTAAGAAAATCGAGTAGTTGGGCCAAGTTCCGTTGTGTTGGCACTTTAGAGATAGCTGGTAGCATTTTTCAGTAGATTAGAACATGGCCTTCAAAAATTATGAACAGATTTCTCTAAATCTTACTTGATGAAGAGTTATACTTACTTGAAATTGTTGAGGTCACTCGTTTGTGCAGCGCTAGAGCAACAACTTGCTGGGTTATAGGTACTAAAGTACCTATACTATCTCAAATATACAAAGGCAACAACTTTTTTTGTCAGCAAGTTTATCATATATTGCTGATTAGTAAAGAAAAAGTGAAGCTTCTTTCTCACATGGTCTTCTTGCTGCCACTCATTCCAGTCATGGAATGCCACACCTTTCAATCTACATGCATGGGAGGGGCTGGAGCTGCTTGCATGTATGTGCTGCAGTGCTGCTACTTCTGCAGGTATTCAAGAGCAAGTGCAACTGTAGGAAGCTAGTGTTGAGCAGACTCTCTTCATGCTGATAATCAAACAGTTATTGAAGTGCGGGCATGCACCATAGCAGCTATAGGGGCGAGGCCATGCACCGTAGGTGTCTCGTTTGAGATTATGTTATCAGTGCAGGAGAGGTATAAGAGTATAGTCCAGCCTATGGCCATTCATTTTTACCAAATAAGGGACAAATATGTGTACCCCATCATAGTAGAACTAACAATGTGTGTAATTATAATCGTGAAAAATTTAAATACCAATCACACCTGCGAGTACATGTACTTGTACACATCCCTTACAAAACAGGTCACTGCTCATTGGCAATTTCTACCTTGTAATCTAATCTACCATGTAATCTACCTTGGAACAAAACACACCCTTCAAGAAATTTAATGAGTAGCTGGGGGTGCATATTAGTCAGGCCACTAAGTGCATAATATTTTAGTTATGACAATAATGATGTACATATAAATAATTAAAATAAATTTAAAAGTAAAAAATAACAGCATACAAAAATTCGAAAAAAAATTAAATACTGGCAGGAAAAAGTCTTTCCAATCAATGCATCAAAACTTTTTGTCAAATCTGTCAAAAATGCACATAGTTCTGCTCCAGCTATTACTAATTTAGTTTTTCTGTGTGTCTAATATTAATGTATTTACAAAAATAGGATAAATAAAATAAAGATTAACAATGAAATTTTTTTTTAATAAATAAAAATCAAAAAACAAAGCAATGACATTTAAAAATTAAAAAAAATTAAGTATAAAAATAAAAATATGAAATAAAAAAATAGAAAATAAAATAGCAGTTATTTTCTGAAACTTTTTTTTCAAGCCCCACCTTTCTAACCAATTTTCTGTAATACTTTACAAACTTTTTCTATATGGTTTTGTAGCTTGAGAATCTTGAAGGTATCATCACTTGCTTTATTTTCAAAATATATAAAGAGTATTTGAAATGTAAGAAATGCTTCATATATTGACTGCTATGTAGCCATTAGTATACTGTCCTTGCATAGAGCAATGCACTACTAATCCACTGAATTGAAAACTGAATATTTGACAAAGGAAAACTTAATACCGTATAGCGGAAAATTTTCGTGGCCCAAAATTTTCGTGGATCCGTCCAAAAATCAATTTCGTGGCTTTAATTTTCGTGGTTTTCTACAATTCGGCCATCTTAAACCGTATCGATTTTCGCGGATTTTATTTTCGTGGGTTTTGAAAAAAACGCGAAATCTACGAAAATTTTGGGCCACAAAAATTTTCCGCTATACGGTATGCTCCAAGTTCCAATGAAATATTTTCCACTTTTAACAAACTTTGTGCAACTGGGATCTATGATCTATCCTTAGCAAATCTGCATTGTGCAATGCACAATTAATGTAGATTATGTATTATCAACAAAATATTATAAAAATAGTTTTAGTGATGGCGGCTTAAAAGTGTTCCTGACATAGACTGGTTTTGAAAAGATTAGACCAAATGAATTGTTGACTCTACAGTAGTAATATCCAACTGTTGAGTTATTAATAGGATTTAAAAGAAGAGAACTGTTCCACCACACATATCCTTCATCATCAGAGTTAGGACTGTACACAATATTAGACACTTTACTACCACTGATGATAGTGTAGCCACTGGATCTATTAGATATCTCATCAGTACTATACAACCATGAGACTTCAAATGGAGACTCTCCATAAACAGAACAGTTCACATACACTGTCTTGTAGTTCAAATAATATAGGAAGTAGAACCATATAGGACCTATAGATTAGTTTATAAGAATAATTCCAGGAATTACTCATATTAACCAGCATTATCCATCTGTTGCTCATAATCAGAGTAATTTCCACTACCATCTAACTCTCCAACATTAAGATGCCATAACAGGAGTGATAGAAACAGACCAATAAAAAACATAGTCATGTTGAAGCAAGTACATAGGCTGTAGTAAAATATGTGAGCCAAGTCACATAGTCCATAATTACCCTCTTAGCTATATCCTTTATACTATAGCCTGCAATCTTATTGTGCCAAAAGTTCAAAGCTGTCAATATTTAACTTTGAACACAAGGCTAATAGAGTTATTTATAATAATATTCAATAATGATATTATTCATGATTTAAATTTTTGGTGCAGTAATTGCACTATTGATCATAATGAAAATCATTTATTTGTTGTAAAAAACTTAACAGTGATTATCAATGCTGTTATTATAGTCTTACATAGCCAGGTCCTTTGAGCCATTATTGTATTCAAAAGAGTCTGATTTTTCTATGAAACATAAGACTTGATCATGAAGCATTAATAAATATACCAATAACCTACAATGTGTATCATTAAATTTTCTATGTTTTGTAATTCTTGTAACTCCACAATTTACTAACAGTCCTGTTCACACCTTCATTTACACTTTAGGTGCTAACATCTTAAAATGTTCTTATACGTATAAAAAAGCTTGAGCACAATTTATGCAATGTTCATGAGCTTTCGCCACAGTTAAATGCACAAAGATCTTGTTATTATTTGCATGACAATAATTCATTTTTAAATATTTAAAATTAAAAATTTTTAGAGCTCAAAATTTATCAGTTTTGATAAAAAAAAAGATATTATAATGGCAATGAATAATAGTAGTAAAGAAGCAATGAAAATAACTTTAACATAACTGCAGTGAGTTTCAGTAGAGGGTCGAGATTTAGAGATATTATTATCATGAGACTGGGCATCAGTAAGAGAGAGGGCATTAGGTGTGGAGGGTTGAGGTTTAGAGACATTATTATCATCAGGCTGGGCATCAGTAAGAGAGAGGGCACTAGGTGATGAAAGAAATCTCTCAACTTCAGCTTTTGCTTTGCCAAGTTGATCTGGAAAGTCTTCACAAACTTGAAGTATTCTTCTCCATGTCACATCATTATTGGAATCTATCCATCTCTGGAACACTAGTATCAGCTTATCAGAGGCTGCTTGTTGACTGTGCAAAAGGTCATCTACTTGTACATCAAGTGCAGTCCCAATAGTTGAATAATGGGAGGAAGAATGGTTAAATAGCCTAAGAAGGTGACTCTTTTGAGGCGCTTTGTCTAACAGGAGGTCTGTATTAATTAAGAATAAAAAATAATAAATATTTTAACACTTTCTCACTTTTAACAGATGTATAATCATTAACTTGTTTCTGTGTTTCATCAGACCCTATACCCATGGCAGAAAAAGTCTCTTCAATCAATGCATCATACCTGTTTGTCAAAGTTGTCAAAGCATCACGTAGTGTTCCATATGTTTTAGGAGACTTCCCTTCACCATGAAGCCAATGTGACATAAATTCTTTTAGAATATTCTCAAAAGGCTCGTCTTCATACTTTTCTTCATTCTCATCGTACCAATCCTGACTTAAATCAAGTTTTTCAGCTAAATCAAAAGTAGTCTTCATATCAAATCCTATCTTTTTTAAGGCAAATAAAATGGTATCAACATCTAAATTGAATAAAAGCAATATGCATGGCAGTGTTAAGCATTTTTCGAAGCTCATACCTAGTTTCTTGCTATTTGTAATATTATCTTGAAATGTTCTTTCCTCTACATAATGAAAGGGAATTAAAATAATACACAAAATATATGTAGCTACTAACCAATCTTATTTACATAGTCATTTACAGCTTCCTTTTCCCCTATTGCACGTAATGCTTCAATAACTTGAAGCCTTGTTGGCTTAGAGCACTCTTTTAGCCAAGCTTCGAACACACCATCTAGTCTGTTGTAATCACCTGATATGTTAAGTTGATTAGCTAGAGATTGTATTTTCCCTGGCTCCATAGCTTCAATATTGGCACATAGCTCATGTAAAGGTGGTTGCTCATGTAAATATACGTGCATGTGTACTTTGTCACCTACACAAATGACAACATATTAATTATTATGAAGTGAAATTAGGCAAGCTCAAGTCAAAAGCAGTATCAGTGCTATTAATGTCTAGAGTTTCAACATACCTAGCCATGGGCGCTGTCGAGTGGTAACCTCTGAAGTGGTAACATTACCGTATGGGCAGGTAAGCGTTTTATGGTCACGCTCACTCAGAACACACAGGTGAACAGAAGGATGTTCACACTTTTTGTCTATACAAAAAAATTGCATTTGTAGCTTTAAATAGTTATGACTGCCGTGAAGCTCCTTGATTATGATGGTTAAGCAATCAAATATGAATTCCTTTATTTCGTAGCAGTTGGCTTGCTGCCCATTGTAATAAATCTCTATGTATGTCACAGAGTCAATGAGGAGGATTCCGCCAGACGGTTTGTAAACCAATTGAATGGCATTCCTGTAGATGTTGGTTGGTTTGCCTCGTTTGTTCAATTCAACTAGTTTTATCCTATCATCTTTAAGAAGAAATGTAATCAGCGTACAAAATAGTCCTCGTGGTATAACCTTGTTGTCCCAGGATACAATCAATGGCTCCACTTTGTCACGGTAAGATTTTCGTAATGTTGAAATTTCTTTTTCACCAGCAGTAAGTAAGACACAGGGAAGGAAATATTTATCTCTTTCGAACTTTGCAGTGATGTGCAACTCTATCATCAATGTAAGCAAATCTGACGGCTTACAAAAGCGAGCAATTTTGTTGATTACCTTTGTCTCAAAATATCCATGTTGCATATTTTCCAAGGCATCATTTGGCATGTCAATCTTTAGCGTATCTTCTATATAGTCACTTCCCTCAAAGAATGAGATGCTAATAAGAAGTGATATATCATCAACAAGGTCTTGAGGCTTCAGGAATACAACATTAGGAAGTGCTGTAAAGTAACTTATTCCAGACAAATCATGGAAAAAAAGCAACGTCTTCTGGACATCATCAGGTTTCATGTTGTGCTTCTTTCCAATTTTATAGCATTCTTCAACAGGTATTGTTGTCTCGTTTTTCTCTTTGCAAGAGTCCTGAATTCCTTTTAATAGTTGAAGCTGGTTGCGTGAGATTTTGGCTTTTGTATACGACTTGCAGATTTTATGTATGATCTTTTCAAATGTATTTGGGTTTTTCTGTTCTGAACTTGATTTATTGGCAATTAAAGGGAAAACTCGATTACCACTACAAAAATTTTGAATGGTAACATCTCTATCAAACTTATCCAAATACTCGTTTAGGTGCTCCTTTTTCTCTTCAAAATTTACCGATTGATCATAAAAAGTGCCAAATACAAATACACTTGGTTTAGAAGAATCGCAAACAATTTCATATGATTCTTCATTAGGGCCCCTGCTCTCCATAGACACAATAGAACTAATCAGCCAATCCAGAACTTGTTCATTGGTCAGTTTACGTTTGACAGGATCTCCTATGCGCTTCCCTTGCACACTGTAGAAGAACTCTGTCTCATCTTTCAACCCTTTTGTAAGCTTCTGTGTCACAATGTTGACAACAGCTGACTTTCCACGGAGGAAGGCAGGAGCTATATCTAGGAAGGCGGCCTGACCACCAGTATCAGTAATACAAATAAAGTGCTGCTCATCTGATTCATTGCTGGAAGTTGAAATTTTTGATTGAATATGATCGATTATGCTTTCTATTCTCGTAAATCTTGTCCCTGTTTCGTCGGAAGATTGTACAACTGCCTGTACTGGTTTGATAATGGGTGTACTGTCGTGTAGAGGATTTGGAACCTCACCTAGCAATAGCTTTATACTCGAAGACTTCCCAGTTTCAGGTGGACCAGATATCAAGACTTTTGTCCACTTAATTGTCAATACTAAACAAAAGTTATTATTATTATAATGGAAGGTTTAATTGGTACTGTAAAGTGAGATTAGGTTTTATCAAGAGTACATAATACCTTATACAAAAGGAATAGATAACCCAGAATTAAACAATAAACATTATACATTGATAAGGCTAACAATAATTGTTTATATGATAGCTCAAAAGTAATTACTAAGATAAGTTTGCCCGATGGCCAGGTACTCCTAAGTAACAGGTGTGTCAAGAGAGAAATTCTTAAATTATATATTTATGTCATCAATGCCATATAATTAAAATAGCTAGAAATTATCATAAGTTCTAAATTGATTATAGTAATTGTCTGTAAGCAGGAAAGCATAATTACTAAGCATGCATCTAATCAAATCCCTGTGTGCATTAGGATTCGGATTCAGATAAATGTTAAAAAATTAGACAGTGTAAATTGACTCAATATTTGAAAAGCATCTAATTACAAGTGCACAGTGGCATATCCAAGGGGGGGGGCTGAGGGGGCTTGAGTACCCCCCTCATGGCAGGGCTCTGAAAAAAATTACTTAAGTCCTGGGTCAGACACCTCGAGGTCTCTTCCCTACGCTCATTGTACTCTTCATTTGAAAGTATGGCATGACTATTGATACCAGTTGCCTTAAACGTAACATCATTATACTTGAGCACCCATCGCATTAGAAATTTATGTTAGTTGATGTGTTTTATTCAATTACATTTAATCAATATTAAATCATTAAATCAGTTTTTTGAACTAGGAGAGGAATTACTGACACAAGTATGTATCTATTATACAACTTGCTTGATAATTAGGCTAAGGATAATTATTCATATAGTGCTAAAGTAATTACTAAGATCAGTTTGACCAATTGCCAGCAGGCCAGGAACTCCTAACTAACAGGTGTGTCAAGAAAGATTTTCTTATAAATGTATAATGTCATCGATGCCATAATTAAATATTATACATAGTTAGAAATTATCATAATTGTCTAAATTGATAACAATAATTGTCTGTAAGCAGGAAAGCGTAATCACTGAGCATGCATTTAATCAAATTCCTGAGTACATTAGGATTCGGGTTCAGATAATATTGAAAAATTAGTGTGAATTGACTCAATATTTCAAAGGCATCTAATTAAATGTAAACGTACATTACTCTATCATTTTATTTATGATTAAAGTTTATTTTTCAAATTCCTATCAACTACAGATGAATATTCCAGGCCACCTATATTATTATCATTGCTATTATTATTATGAATTTAACAGTATACTATAAAACATAGAGACAAGAGACAAAGGACAGAGAATATCAACCAGCCCCACCTGCAACACCACTGATGTTATGCATGAATTATATCAACCAGCCCCACCTACAACACCGTATGCTATGAATTATTATAAAGCACTACACTTGATGACGTATGTGCAAGTAAATACAATGTGAAGAATTCTGACAAACACAAAATTCTTAATATTGAAAAATAGGCTTTGACATTATTCAACATAATAGATGCCATTAAATTGCCCAAATTTTCTCCCCTCTAAATTGTATGATGCATAAAAGCACCCTTTATAATAAAAGTGATGGTACTCCCAATCTTAATTTAGCTAATTACACTGAAGAATGATCATCTTATCTGACCTTCATCCTCGGCTGATGCCATGACTACTTAGATATTGAATTTCTTGAATCTAAGTCCTGCAGCTTCTGAGTTTTTCCCTTTAATGTATCCAGGAGCAAGGAATAGTCACCAGAAACCCGAGAGAGGCTCACAGTGGCAGGGGCGTAGCTGGACCTTGGGTGACGGTAGGGTTAGAAGACAAAATGGCGCGCGAAGCGCGCCGCAATTTTGGCCACACCCCTTTTACGTGACAAAATGGAGGCATTTTCCTGCAAGCTGAGCAAAATCAGAGTGAAATTATCATTGTACATAGCTTTAAAAAGAGCTGTGGTTATCAGCCACCCCCTTTTGTTATTGTAAGAACAATGAATATAATCTTTTGGGTTATAATTTCAATGAATATAATTATAAGGCCACTTTGATGGTAGGGCCCAGGCCCCCTCAGGCCCTACCTCAGCTACGCCCCTGCACAGTGGTAGTCGAGGTGGGAGCCGTCTGTCCATTGCTCCATAGATACTATATACCGTAGGTCGGGTTATATTCGCGGCTGCTAATATTCGCGATTTTTTCCCGCGGCTAGCAATTGCCATAGCAACTGGATGCTATTTTAATTGAAAACGGCGCGGTATTGAAGCACAGGACCAGGCTGCAGTGCTCTTGAGTTGTTATTCTTCTTGCTGTTACTAATCCTTGGACTCTTTGAAGCTGCTTTGGCCAGTTCTTTTTAGAAATACTCTACTCACTGTGCCTCGCCGTGTCTTGGGACTCTCCACCCATTCTAGTTAGTGTTTATTGATTTGGGTGTGGTTTATAATCATGACCGACCGACCAGCACTGGTTTTACAGCAAAGAACTCGAAGGTAGAGGTTTATCTATACAAGAAGATAACAGATAGAGAGCTGGAGTCTGGATGGCTCGAATAAAGCTGCTAAAAATAGGTTATTAGCTGCTGAACGCTGTAATTGTATAAACACGTGGTCGATTGTCATAGCAACTATCAATTTGTTTCCATAGTATTTAATTGAACTTCTTTATTAGTTTTTATCACCGCGAATATTAGCAGCCGCGAATATAACCCGACCTACGGTATATAGTATCTATGATTGCTCAGTGAGCTGGACGACGTCGACTGCCCTCGGGGAGTTGACCCCGCATTTAGACTGAAACCCCGGAACACGAATCCTGAAAAGTTCAGGGTGGAGTCGCTGGAGTCTGATCGCAGAATTATCAAGGTAATTATGGATGGTGTAAGGAGAAGGAACATTCAGCTTTTCTTGTCAAAGCAATCTCAAATTATCAGTGAGCCAGTGCATATATAAATAAGGTTTGGTCTTTATCTTCAGATTTTTAGACCCTGTTCAATTGAATGACTTGCTTAAAGCGCTCGAGAGATTCGGAGTCAAGTTGCCTGCTCTTCCTTGGCGGTCACTGGGTGAAAGGCTAGGGCTGGAGAAAGGTACACTAGATGACATCGAGTCGTACTTTACTGCTCTGAAGACCGTTATGGATATGATGGATCAAAGGGTGTGCGAGGATGAGTACATAGATTGCTTGAGAGAATGCTTGTTTGTCTGGTTGGACCGTAATGATGATCGAGCCACGCTCAGCTTCCTCATATCTGCACTTTATAGTTTGACTGAAGAGACTTCTGAAGACAGTGTGGGGATTTTGCTTGCTGTCGAATCAATGATAGGTACATAAATTCTACATTGTGAAGCCTTAAATAATAAAATTTTATTATTATTATTATTCTTTAGGTTATTATGT